CCCCGCGGCACTTGCTGGGACTTGGGTCCCGGCGCCGCTGCTGGTGCCGGTACCGGGCGCCGCGGCGATGCCTTCGCCCCCCGGCCGTAGCTTTAACGTTGCCCACCTTGGTGCAACCCCCCTCGGACCCCCCGTCGTGCTCCCGCCGACCTCAGTCACCCCCACAGCCCTCTCCCCACTTTGGACGGTGCCCCCGGAGCACCTGGAGTAGGGAGGGAGGGAAGGTGGCACCGAGGGAGGGCTGGAGGGGGGTCGGAGGGAGGGCTGCGGAGAAGGAGCGACAGAGGCGAGAAGCTCAGCGGGGGCGTCCGTCCCCCTCCCACCGGCTCCGCTTCGGCCTCGGCCCCGCAGCTCGGCAGAGCCAGGGCCGCCCCGGGGCTCCTGCCGCAAACGGCTCAGGCTGGGCCGGGGCTTGCGGTGCCCGGGGCGCCGTCGGGCCGCCCGCGCCATCAGAACCATGGAGAGGGCAAGAGGGAGGTGCGGCCGCTCCGCACCCCGGGGCTGCCCGGCCGGGCCCCGACCCTCTTCTTGCCCTGCCTCTCGCCCCGGCCGGGTCCCGCCGGCGGCGGCACGGAGGCTCCCCGGGCCCGGTCCGTCGCGGTCCGCAGCGGCTCCGCTGCTCCTCGGCGCGGGCGGCCCGACGGGGCGGCTGGGGGAGACGGGGCGACCCCACGGGAAGGGGCTGCCGGTCCCGCGCGGCGCTGCCCGCTGCCCCCGGGGGTGCCCCGTGCTCGGGCCCGGGCCGGTGCGAGGCTGGGGGCGCCCGCCAGGGGGCGCCGCGCCGAGCGGGCTCGTCCGCCCCGGGCCCGGTAAACCGGGCTTAGCGCCGGGCTCGGGGCGCCACCGCGCGGCGCCCGTCGGAACCCGCAGCTCCCGCCGCACCGGCCGCCCCCCCGGGCAGGCACGGGGGCCGCTAGGGCGCCCCGGCCCCCCAGGGCGGCGCGAGGCCGAGGGGACCCCGGGGAGGGAGGCGGGGGAGGGGATCAGGGCGGCCGCTCCGTCCCCGAGCGGGGCGCAGGGTTTCCCCGCGGAAGCACCGGTGACATCAGCGCCCGCGGGAGCCGCATCCTCGCGTCGGCGCTGATGTCATCACTGCGTTGCCAGGGAAACGCAAGGCCCTTCGCGGGACCACACGCCCGGGGCTGCCCGGAACGCTCGCCGCCGTTAACGGGACGAGCCACTCAAGGGAAAGCGGGAGGGTGGCCCGGGCCTCGCCCGCAGCGCGGCGGGGCCGGGGGAAGAGGGCAGGACGCCGGGGTCCCCTCCCTGAGGGCGGCGGCGGGGGAGGGGGAGGCCAGCGAGCCCGGACGCCTGGGCCCCGGAGCCGGGCCCCGGAGCCGAAGGGGTTAAGCGGCCGCGTGACGTGCGCGGGGCCCGCCCTGCCGGCGCGGGCAGCAGGCGGAGCGGGGCCGCCGCGCAGCAGCCGCCAGCGGCGCCGGTAACGGGGGCGCCGCGGGCACCCCCACCGTAGGCGGCCCCGCCGTGGGGGGCAGAGGCGGGAACCCCTCCCGTCGCGGCGGGGCCCGGCGGGGGGGACACCCCACGTGGGGCAGCGGAAGCCCGGGCGTCCACTGCCCCCCGCCCCGTCGGGGGTGTCCCTGCTCGGGGACACTGTGCGTCGGGGGAGGGATGGGGTGAACCGGCCCCTCTAGGCTGGGTGCTGGAGGGGCCCCATGGGTGCAGCCCCTTGGCCCCATAGTGGGGGATGCTCGGGGGGCGGGTGCATGTCCCTGTCCCCCTGGGGGTGCGTCTGGGCCCCGCTCCGGGCCCGGCTGGGAAGGGGAAGGGGGTGTGTGGGGGAGAGTTGCCCAGTTCATCCTCCAACGGGGGCTGGGACAGCAGGGACGTCCCCCCGCCCCATCCACGTCTGCACCTCTGGACAGCAGCCAGGCCACCCACACATCTGGCAGCCACTGGGGCTAATTTTAGCTGGGCGGGTGCCGGAGCGGGTGCCCGGCAGGGCAGGACGCAGCCCGCGGGCTCCCCACGCCCCACGGCTGCGGCTCTTGAGCCTCCCGGCTCCTGATTTTTTTAGCGCTGGCTCCTCCGGGAAGGGCCAGGAAGCAGATGGGGGAGTCCCGCTGAGCCCGTCCCCAGCCCCGCACCCCAGCCCCACGCCATGGCTGGGCTGCTGAAGAGCCTGGTGAGCGCCTCGGAGAAGGCAGCGCACATCGCCCGCCTGTGCCGCCACGAGGACGCCCTTTTCCATCTGCTCGTGGCCGAGAAGACGGGCGCCGACAAGAACCAGCGCTTTGTGCAGGACTTCAAGACGCTGGCGGACGTGCTCATCCAGGAGGTCATCAAGCACAACGTGGGCCGTGAGGTAGGGCCTGGGCCCTGGTACGTCCCCATGTCCCCCTGAGCGGCAGCCCAGGGCGCTGCTGCATGACTCTTCCTGCTTTGTGTCCCAGTTCCCGGAGCTGCGGGACCACATCGGCGGCGAGGAGTCCAACGAGTTCAGCAATGGGCTGGGTGAGCCGCTGTGCAGCGTGGAGGCGAGGGGAGGCCTGGGATCCCTGACCCTGTCCCCTTTGCCTGCCTGTGCACAGGGGAGACGGTGGTGGTGCGGGTGTGCACCACGCAGCGTGACACCGCGGCCCTGCTCTGCCGGGTGCTGGAGAACAACCAGGCAGCCGCCGAGCTGCTGGCAGCCGCCGTGCACCAGGACGTGGTGCTGAGCGACCCCGAGCTGGATGCTGTGGCGCTGAGCGTCCCCGCCGGCGAGCTGGCCATCTGGATAGACCCCATCGGTGAGGCCCTGCATAGCACGGGAGGCTCCGCGCGCTGCCGCGGCCCGGCCAACCCCGGCCTCCGCCCGCAGACTCCACCAACGAGTACATCCGCGGGCACGAGGACGTGGCGCCCGAGGACGGCATCTACCCGTCAGGCTTGCGCTCCGCGCTGGTGCTCGTGGGCGCCTACGAGCGCTGCTCGGGCTGCCCCGTGCTGGGTGTCATCAACGAGCCCTTCTTCCGACGGGACCCGCTCAGCCAAAGGTACCAGCACGGCCAGCCCCGCGCTGGGGGGAGCGGCTCGCGCAGGGCCGAGCGTCCCCGCTGTCCCCGCAGGTGGCACGGCAGGTACCAC